TCAATTTCAAAGGCCCTTACATAAGTAAGGAAGTGATTAACTAGTAATTAGTAGATTGGGTACTACCTACGGGTGGCTAGGGTGATAATAGACTGCATTGCACTGCCGCAGCATCCTTCAATCGAGCTATCATTAGGGGTAGAGACTGGGTTCAATTCCTGAGTGAATTTTGACGATATGGGTACGACAGCCACCTACTTTTCTGAGGTTCTATAAGATATAATGTCTAAGCCTTCCCGATCATGTGTAAATATACCCTGATACCGGGCAGAGATAATAGTGATCCAGATATGGTGTTGGTAAGCACAGGGAAAAACTGACAAAGTACCTGTGACTAAAAGTGATCCTTCTATCCAAATTTGACAGTGGTTCTGAGGTCTAGGGACCCTGAGGGCTAGCTCTGTGAAATGTCGACCTAGGTGGCAATCTTCAGACCAGTACTACAGAGCAGGGTTTTGGCTAGAACGAATGTGTCTAGTCATGACCTATAGGACAATTTGGGATAAGTCAAAGGTAAAACCATAAAATGACTATCCGTTAATATGACTCCTTGTACCAGTACTGCAACTTAAAAAAATAAAAAAAAAATATTTAATATAAATAAACAATTATTAATTTATTTAATCAACTTTGTTATTTCTAATTTAACGATAATAAATTATTCAAAAAAAATGATTGGTTGACCTGAATTTTTATCAGGTCAGGTCAGGTCAGATTGACCTGTTGACCTGACCTGACATCAACCTGAAAATCTATTGACCTAAACTGAATTTATAAGTCAGTTCAGGTCAGATAAACAGATCGACCTGACCTGATTCAGAGCTCTATCTACTACAGTCATATCTCTATATAGTCACGCAGTTAGGCATACAAAAATGGTGTACTTATATTGATATATGACTATATAGAGAAAACCTATATATAGTCATATTTATAGAGATTACGTAGAATTGTGATTGTATAGAGGTTAACCACTTCTATGTATTTTTTTTATTAGATTATGTAAAACATATGAAACTGATAGACTATTGAGAATAAGAAGCATACAGATAAATTGAAATGAATAATGCAATTACAAAAAATTAATCCACCTCTTGTATATTAACTGGCATAAAAAAACTTGTAATAGTTTTTTGTTTTTACTTTCTACAAGCTTCTGTTACATAATATCCATATATTTTCTAAAAATACGCATTTCCTCCATATTAAATTCTTTGTCATCTTGCTCTTCAAAATATTGGATCTATGTTTTAAGTCTGTTAAAGCTTTCTTGTATTGTTATTGCCAAACTTTCATTGTCAGATTCGCTATTATCTAATTCAACTTTATTATGTTCTTCATCCAAAACCAAATGTATAATTTCAATATCAGTTAGTGCTTGCTCTGTTGAAATTGTCAAGTCAATTGTTTCTAAATATTTATTCAATTCTAATAAAAAAGATTCATCTTGAATAGATGAAAATCTTGCAAAAGAACTTCAATAATCTTTTGATTTTCTTGAATTGCTAATTCATTTTGTTGAATATCATCAATATCATTAATATCATTAATATCATCATTATTAATAGTTGGTAAAATCCCAGTTTTTCGCCAACAATTAGTAATTGTTTCAGCTGTTACTAAATCCCAAGCTTTTGCAACATATTTCATAGCTTCTTTAACATTAATTTTATTTCTAAAAACAATTTGTTTTTTTATTAAATAAATATAGTATTTAAGAAATCAATATAATAAATACATTAAATTAAATACTTACTTTTTTAAATCAACATTTGCTTCAAATTGATGAAGAATATGTCGTATATAATGTTGCTTATAAATTGCTTTAAAGCTTTTAATAATTCTGGCATCTATAGGTTGCAAATGAGCCATTGTGTTAGATGGAAGAAAATGTACTCTAACATATGATAAATTCAAATTACCACTTTCTTCAATTTCTTGATTATTATCCTTATCAGGATTGAAGTGAGATGATGCATTATCTATAAGTAACAATATTTTTCGATTTTGTGCTTGAAATATAATATTAATATATTCAAGCTATTCACCAAAAATATCACTTCTTATCCATGCCTTTGAATTAGCATAATAATTGCATGAAAGGGAATTTCTATTGATTCGGTAGAGACATCTAGGATTTTTTGAGAAACCGATTACAAGTGGTTTAAGTTTTTGAATACCAATAGCATTTGTAGTCAAAAGAACGATAATACGAGATTTATCCTAAAAAATTTGTGAAAAAAATTTTTAAAACTTAAAAAAAACAATAATAAAACTCCAATTCAAAGTAAATGATTGAGTTACCTATTTTGTTTCTGAAGTAGGAGCTGATGCAAGAGTTTTATTAGGTGCCATACGAAAAAAAGACCAGTTTCATTAGCATTGAATATATTGTCAAGTGTGTAGTCTTGCAAAATTTCTTATAATTTTTTTCTTTCCTCAGAAAGAATTTCTAACGGTACACTATTTACTTCACTATGTAAGCGATAGCTATGAATATTATTCCATTTCTTGAACTTTTCTATCCAACCATTTGAAAAAGATATCTTGTCACATAGAATATTAAGCTCTTGTGCAAAAAAAAACCTTTTTCTTAAGTAACATTTCTGAAACTGCAAGATTATTAGCATTTATATTTTCAACCCATAAACCTAATACCATTTCAATTTGAGAATATTTAACTTCTCTATGACGAAAAGTTTTAGAGCTAGCTAGTGTTGAAGTAATTGCAAGCCACTTAGCTTTCTTTCCTAAAATTTTGGAAACTGTTGAACGGTCAATATGAAGATTCTGATTTTGCTGGTTAAAATAGTCAGCAATTTGTTGTTGACTTTTATTTTTATTTTCGGGTTTTGTAAAATATATACATATTTGTTGCTTTATGTTATCACTTATTGCAGAACATGATCTTTTTGGACTTGAAACAACTAGCATTTTAAAATAGGTGGTGAGTGATTTTTGGTAGTTCTTTAGTGATACTTTAGGTAAGATAGCGACGCTTTTGATAGTACTTTTGATATTTTCACTAAATGAAAGTTTATTTTAAAAGTTAACAAAATTCATCACTAAAAAAAATGCATGACCAAACTGACATATTTTTAATGACATTTTATCAACTATATAACTATACAGGGAATACAGAGAAGAAATTTAAACATTTTCTCCTGATATTTTTTTGTAACCAAATTTAGCTATTTATATTTTCTAATTAAATCATGTGATATGATTATATAGAGGTTATTTATAATGTTTGGGTACACGTATTTGATGTGATTGTGATTATAATCCTATTGTGACTAAATAGAGATCATTTCTTTAATTAAAAATTTTGACGCAAAAAACTTGTTGACTATATAGAGGTTATGCTTATATAGGGGGTGACTATATAGAGGTACAACTGTAGTAGTTAACTGTTTTTGATAATAACCATTAGGCATATAGAAAAATTTTTTGTAACAATAAATAATAATATCTCTAAACTGATATCACATATCATCGTCACATTTTTAAAATAATAATAATAATTATGATATTTATTTAGATTAAAAAATATTAGATTTATTATAAAGTATTATACAATAATATTACTATAAGTAGTTACAACTAGTATTTTGTAAAGGTTTAAGGATATTTAACTTGAATCTATTAATATTTAAAGAACCTGAGTCTGATCATTATTGTTTAATCCAGATTTGACTTGAATATCAAGGGTAATATTAATGCTGAAAATAAAAAAGTGTCATATAAAGTTAAAAAAATTTATTTTTTGTGAGCAATAATTCTATTTTTTTTACATTTTTTTTTACTAGGATTACAAGTACATACAGGCATGAATTATATTAAGTTTTAATTCGCTAGCCATAATTATGATCCAACCAAAATACGTTCTCATGGGAAAAAAGTATTCATAATTATTAAATATAGAATTTGATCAAAATCGATTTTTGTTTTCAAAAAGTATTTCATAATATCTTACAATACACAAACTTAAATACAATTAAACTTTCTTAAAAAGTAAAATTTTAGCATTATATTATATATCTTATTTCTAAAATAAGATTGCAGAGTAAACCCTAATCTCATATTGTTATAACTTCCAAGTTTTACCAGACGAATGACGCAGTAAAATAACAAAAATGTCAAAAATAACAAAAATCAAACATGTATGTCATATTATATATATTTATGCTAAAATATTATACATAATTTTTATTTGTTATTTACGTTTATTATATTAGTTATTTTCACTATGGTAAACTTAGAATTTAGAACTTTTAATATAAAAACCTCAAAGTCTAACTTGATTGAAAAGAGTATGATTGACGAGTCTTTAGGAAGAGACTTCTGAAATCTTGAAATTTAATAAATACTAACCTTACCTATACAAACCTTTGTCACATCTCTATATAAACTTAACTGCAATAATCATCTACATAAAAGAATTTTATTAATAAAGATATTTGCATAAATCTTTCTTAAAAAGGACCTGAGTTAGATTTATCTGGTTTCAGGAACCTCAAAATTATGGTAACATTATTCATAGTATAAAAAGTAAGTGGTATATTTTCTAATCAATACGCAGTTTTAAAAATATAATAAAATCTTAAACTATTCTGAAATTTCAGATATGTGAACGTTTAAGATGGATTTGATAATTAATTCTGGATCAGATTTGATTTCAATAGCATTGCAAACAACTAATTTTGCGAGCATGCAAAGCCATTATGGCTATCACGTTACATGAGATTAACTAAAAAATTTTTAACTACTGGGAATATATAAGAACAAGGAATTTCTTCCTCTCTGATAAAATGTAGTTTTAAGTTTATTCAATGCTTTATAGTTTATAGCATCATGTGACTTTTTACATTTTTACTTTTGATAAATACAATAAAAAGCTAACTGTTGCATTAATATCACAAATGGGAGGTTTGCTATTAAAATCGAATTACAAACATAGTAAATTATATAATCTGTAATGTGATTTTAGTAGCTTACTCCTAAATATCAAATTCAAAAACTTCGTTAAATAGTGCCTAAAAATATTATATATAACAACAAGAGTCAGTATATTATATTAATTTCAAATTTCACTCTCAAAAATGTGTATATAGATACATGATTATTCTTTATAGCTATTTTGAGATCCAAGATATATAAAGTAATCAGCATCACCCAAGAATTTTATATTTGCGAGAAATAGACGATTTTTTGGAATAAAATTAAGTTAAATTTTGATTTACTATCAAACTTTAATCTAAATAAACTTACTCTTTCATAGTTTTTTCAAGCATTAAAAGCCTTTTCCGCTCTGTCAGCAAGGGTATTGAGGACTTTTAATAAAATTTTATCTTAGGATAATGAACGAATATAACTTATTGATTCTTCAAGTTTCTTTTCATATTTTTATTTTGTTCAAAAATTGCAAAAAATTATGGTAAATAAGAATCATGTGCAAAAATCATCTCATAATAATTTATATTCACTTACATAAATGTAATTTGAAAGTTTATCAGCACGATATACTTAAATATATATTGGAGAGTCATACTTTAGTTTTTCGTATATAAAGGTATAAGCAGTCTTTGAAGTATTCAAGAATCACAACAAGAACTGCTTTCAAGAGATGAAATCGAGACAAACTTGCGTAAATTAAAAACTAGTCTTAAAAAAATAATGCTTCATACGCTTCCCATTTTGTAAATATTTAAAGAAGAAAGGTACTTCAGGAGAATTTTTCTCGTGATAAAGAAAGTCGCACTAAACCATTTAGATCTGGTACTTCAAATTTAGAGAAAATCACTTATTTTTGCAATTTTTAGACGAGCGAATGTTTTATAAATGTTTTCCAATTCAGATCTAATAAGATCAAAATGACTCTTCATTTTGTTATAAGATTTTTCAATGTACTCTTCAAATCTGCATATATAGTTTAATAAAGGAAAAGGTTAATTAGAAGCAATGAATATCAAAAATCAAGTCAAGATAGTTCACTCGCGTTGACAAAACTTATTACGACTCACTTACTAGAAACTGATTGCTCTACGATAATGTGAATGTGTTTTTTGAGCGGGTTTGATGATAAGAAACAGGAAAGAAAAGCACTAGAATAAGTAAGTATTTGGTATTATATAATTCTATGATAACAGGTAAATCATAGAAATGATACTACAAAAACACTGCTTTAAAAGATGTCTGTTGAATAACACGTGAGGCATACAAATTTTAAACAATTTTATAATAGAATTTACTTTGATTATTCAACTTTTTGATTACTGTTGCAAATCTTGTAGCCTTTCTGGCAGAAATATTAAGAGGAAAATTAACAAGCTGTTCATAAGTTAGTTTAACAAAACTAAGACCATCAACATCTTGATTGCGAAAAATTATGAAGTTATTGTTATTAAGGCATAAGCTTTTTCCTCGTAAATAAATTTCAAGTTCACTCATATTATATTTTCCACGTCATCCACTAAAGGATTATTAGTAATAGTACTTGTAGACATTTTGATTTGATATAATGGTACAGTCAGAATTGACAGTTCGAGATCGAGATGATTTGCAAAAAAGTGGGTATTTGGGTGGATATATATATGAAATCTATTATTGCATAAATCAGTCAGATTATACGTCATTTCGATATCAAAAATTTACATGAAAATTCAAAGCCCAAAATGTTGGCAAATCTTTATTTAAAATAAAACAAGTGAAATGTAAGGTACTATTAAAAAAGAAGGGAGTATGCGATTCCTAGGCTATTTAATCATATTAATTTGCATTACTGCCTCTACTGCTATTTAATATTGCTACTATTATTATCTGCAAATCTAGCCAACTTTTCTTTTTCTATCTAAGGTATTACCTTATATATTGAATTATTCTCAGTATTTCTGTAACAGGACTAAGAACTCATTAGATAATGTATTATACAATTGTGTAGTAGATCGCCTCTCTCTCTTCCTTCTTTTGTCGAAAAGAATTGTGAACTTAACTCAGTACATTTGTATTTTATCAGTATATTCTGAGAATTAACTTATATGACTTGTAGAAGAAATATAATTGTGATGCTGAGAAGTGTGATTAAAACAATATCAGAGTTTAAAAGCATTTTATTAGAATGAAATAGTATTATGCTTATTAGAATATTTTTAGCAAAGAAAGGTATATAACGATTTTTATTTTTTTATGCTAGAAGCGCCTCCAATTTATCCAATGCTTTTATAATTAAAATTCATCTGCAGTTGATCACTACGATTGACGCAAAATCTAAAAATCAGGCTATATTAGTATGTATTAAAAACTCGTATATAAATTTATCGTCACTGGCTAAAAGATCAGATGCAGTATCAAAGAGTTTTTATTTTGCGATACATTCTATAAATACAAAGTTCAGGTACCATCACTTTCAACAATAATAGCAGAATCTAGTGACTCAATTTTAGTAATATAGTAATTAAGATCTTTTGAATCATATATTGCATTTTGCTAAAAATTTTGCATAAGCTTTGTTAAACTGTTTCTAATCTATGTTTTCTGAAACATATTCTTCAAGCGCTATCTTCAACTATATATTTATTACTCGTGTATTCATTGTCTAATGCATTTCTTACTGTTTCTCGCTGAAAGTTTCCTTTTGACTTCCTTTTTGAAAGAAGTATTTTAAGAAATGTTTTCATATCAAAAATCATTCCCATTACTTAAGGCTTTTTTCTTCTGTATTAAGGAAAATACTTTAGGATAATGATGACAATTCGAAGGCATTCTCTTAGACAAAATAGTATAACTTTTTACTTTTTCAGATCTTTTGAATCTGTAGAATTTATTAAAAAGAAAAGAAGAAGTTAAAGAAAAGTATTGGAAATGACTAACTTAACAATAAAAAAAAAAATACAAATGACTACAATAGGTGTTCAAAGATTTTTGTGCTCTCTTAAAGAAAGATGTGTGAAAGAAACTAACTTCTTAAAGGAAACTTTCACATATAAGGCAAACAATCACTTCTAAGAAAATAGATAAAGGAGTATCTGTATTCAAGTATTAACCTGTCGCTCTTATGCTTAATACTAAAGGATATCTTCAGAAAATGTTTTTTCTTTAAAGCTAAAGCTTTTATAACTGCATTATTAAACAGAAAACAGTTCATGAAAGGATGTGGAATACGACTAGATGGATAAATCTATAAGGATAAATCTATAAGAAAAAGAACATTATAATGTCCATTTAGCACTCATCTAAACATTGTTAAAAAATAAAATAAAATAAAATACTTTTTATAAAATTATTGTCAAAATACATATATCTGCTACTAAATACCTAAACGTATAATTTGAATATTAAGAATCCACGTTAAAATATCCTATTAGAAAGATAAAAATCAATAAAAAAAAATTGTTAGAATTAAAATCTTGGTATTTATCAAAAGAGTAAGAAATTTGTGTTTAAAGCGGTTGGCAGTCAGATTCTAAAAGTCAATGTATTAATAATTTCTTATTAATACGCTATAGCACTGGAGTAATACTTGTCTTTATAAATGAATTTTCTAAGTATAACAATATAGGAATATTTTGCAAATATTGTTAAGCTTTGTAACCAGAATGGAAAACCACTACTTATACAACAAATTCCTTGTCAAAACTGAAATCAATCATTATGTGATTTTATATTGTATCATATATCTTCATATATATACGCATATATTTTATTATTTATTTAACTCACATATATCATTTTGCTGCCCTCCAATACCATTTAATATTCACTTTGGATAGAAGATAAATAAATATCTAGCTTCCAAAATTACTTCTTTTATTGCATTTTGTTTTGTGTCAAAAAGTCAAATTGTAAAGAAATGATCTGCTGTGTATAACAATCTATCCTGTTTTTATCAAGATCAAAATTATGCAGACATTTTTAAAATCAAAAAAAATTTTATACACATAATATAATAAAAATAAAATTTTAATAAAATAAATTCAAATACCATACTGTTCCAAAATTAAGCAACCTTTTTTTGCTATAGAATTGCTTAATTTCAGGTATTTTTTCTTTCGTAAAAAAAGAAAACGAAAAAATTTGCGTATTTACTGTAAATGTTTCATGTATAATAAATATTTCATCATCACGTTACATAAAATAATCATCAGTATAATGTAACATAATATCACGATCAATAAATCACACGTGATCAATCACAAACTTGTTTTTAAACTTATTTTAAAACTTAATATATCGTCACAAAAGCAAAAAAAAACAAATATTTGTTAATAAAAAATCCTCAAACGAAGTTGTAATTCATATTTTATTGAGTAAAAGAAACAAATTGTCACTTATGCTAAAGAATATAGAATAATTAGAGTGTCAAATATTTTTGAACTTAATAAAGCATTGTTAGTCACTAAGTTAATTTAAATGAAAAATGGTTTAAATTTCTAAACTAAAACTGCAAAATGAATAGGTTCTGGTTGAAAAAAGCTTTTACCCAGAAATTGAAAAAAAATTATACAATTGGATCATTGAGCAGAGAAAGCAGGGTTTAGGTGTTATATATACCATTGCGTGAGTTAAGATGCTAGATATTTTAAAAAAACCTGCTATAATAAGTCTTTATAGATATTCAACAAATGAATTTAAAATATCAAACTATTGGATATTTGCATTCATGAAAAGTTTTAATCTATCTCAATAATGTCAAATTAAAGTTTCACAAAAACTTTTATCACAAACTACTAAATTATTAGAAAATTTCTGTCAGTTTATCATTAACCTTAGAACCAAAAAATTATTTGAGTTATTCAACATTTTAAATATAGACGAAAACTTCTATCTAGTTCGACATAGCAGAAAATTTTACAATTAATATTATAGGCAAAAAAATAATTCATATTTATAACACTGGTAATAAAAAGAACTGATTCACAATTGTTTTAACATGTGCTGTAGGTAAAGTTCCATTTAACAGTTTTTTTTTTTTTTAGCTTTACTTTTATCTAATTTTTATCCTATAGATAGTACAAAATTTCTGCTGATTTGCATCTTTAAAGGTAAATGACTACCACATAGTAAACAGATTCCATCTGATATCATTGTTTGATTTCAAAAGAACAGATAAATAGATACTGATTTAATGAAAAAATATGTTGATTATATTAATGATAATCTAACAATCAATAATGCTTCAATAATGATGATATACGATTCTTTCTAAGGATTCTTAAATATTCAGTTAAAACTAAATTTCGTAACAATGATATCAATTTGGCAGTTATTCTGAATAGTATAACTAATATATGTTAACTATTTGATGTAATAATTAATAAGCTATTTAAAGACAATTTTTGTAAGAAATAGCATATCTGAATAGCAAGAGGTGATGCAGAAGTAATCATATTAGGAAACCTTCACTGTGCTAGGTTATCTAATGTTTATAGGTAGGTCAAACGTGTTTGAAAAGGAATTTCAAATAAAATAATTATAAAGTTTTTTAAGACTTGCAAAATTTTGACTTCTTTAGGCATATCGAATGATGATAATGAAGATTTTAATAATGATATTATTAGTAGCGATAATAGTGATAATAATGATGATAACGGTGATAGTGATAATAATAGTAATAATGGTAATAGCAATGATAATAAATAGAATAACAATAATGTTACTAATTACTATACTTTAGACTAATTAATATTTCATAATAAAAATATATTATTAATAAATTTAATACTATTTTTAATATTTATATATTTAATTATTATGTTTAATTATAGAAATTTATGGATTGCTTATTTTCAAATCTATATTAATTGAAGAGTTGCTTATTTTTGGGGGTTGCTTAATTTCAGAATAGTACAGTATTTATTATATATACTAAATAATTTGTTATAGTATTAATGAAAATTTTTATAATAAAAGCCTGATCAGCTAGATTGGTTACTTCATTATATTGAAGTGTAACTGTATAATTTTTTAATATAATAATCATAATTTTCAGGTTCTGACATATAATTTAACCAAGTAACAATGTATCATTCTATATTTATTAAATTAACTAAATCAACTTCATCTTCAACTAACCATAACTTTTTACTATTTTCATAAGTATATTAATTATCAATGAAACGATAATTAGAAAGATGTTTATATGAAATTATTATATCAGTTTTTAGTTTAAATATATTATTATCTATTTATTAACTATCACACTATGTACTTAATATATAAATGTAAATGATTGCTTACGATATATTAAAAAATTACCTATTCTATATAATTCTAAATAAAAATAATTAATTTTAATAATATGTTATTTGCTTTTATATAGTAAATTTTGCAAAAACTACAAACTTTCATTTGTATATTTAATTGTATCCTTTTCAAATAATAATGAATTCTACTAAAGATTATTATACTAGAATTTTTATTTTTTATTTATAATTATTTAAACTTAAAATATA